ATCTCTTTGGCACAGTTGACTTTTGACAAAAAACAATATAAAGCTTTTATCTTTACACACAAGCAACAACATCATCATTCCAATATTATGTTCTCATAAAAAGAGAACAAAACATCTAGCAAAATAGAAGAAACCTCAAAGATCCAGAGTTGGGGAGACCCAATTCGTTGTGACACTCACTAACCACATCAAGAGGAATACTCTTTTTATAACCAACTTGCTGGGACAAACTATTTAGTTCATCCCAATCAAAGTTCACCACTTCAGGTTTCATACAAAAGTAAAGGTAAACAAAGCAGTTGCCCATAGTGGTAGGTAATTCCCCGTTTAGGTAAGGGCTAGCATTACAGAGACACAATTCGTTATCCCCATCCATGTCCAACTATTTATGATGTACGCTGCTTGTTATTAATACCAAACACTTATATTCCTTCCTTGAAACAGCTGAGGCACTTTTCAAAGATAAGACCAATTTTTAAAAATGTTGCTGTGTACTCTTATTAAAGAACTCATAAAAAACGAAACTTCATGCCTAACAAATTCATATCGTCTAGCCAACAATTACTACACATTAAGCAATAACTCATTTCATCCAGGCTCATTACAATGGGACTCCATTGCAAAATAACCCGACTATTCTGTGTGTCCCAAAAATTACAAAAAGTATGATTTTCCAAATGTGAGTTGAAAGAAAACACATTGGTATAACGACTGCCATTTCAGGCTTGGAAACATTAAGATAGACTAAGACGGATGGGAACAACATAAAGCAAAATAAAGAGGCAGGAGCTACAAGTGGAATCCTCCAACCATATCTAGAAAACCAAGTTGTTTGAAAAGGACATAGATTATAAATCTGTTTTTGACCATGTACATATTTGATTGAGCACCATGGCATGACCAAGAGATAGATATCATTAACTTGTTATTGCCGGACTGAAAAAATATCGACTGACAAAATGTCTAGTAATACAAGCCATGACAACATTCAGCAGCCCATCTACATTTTAGCCCCTGAGGTTACAATTCGCGAGAATGTGTTGCACAGTGCGTACAAACTTTGTCATAAATCAAAGCAGAACTAGTCGTAAATTCCAAATCAAAACCAATCAAGAGAAACCCACAAAAAAGTTTGCACATACCGGTACAGAAAGAAAAATAAAAGAACAGATACCTTTACCTTAAATGCAGTCTGGTTCTATCTCTATAGACAGAGAAAAAGTACATCTTGTTACCAGAAAAGGCCTTGTGACCAAAAAAAAGAGACCCCATAAACGATGTGAACACAGAACATGAATGGAGTTAGAGACACTCACTTTAAACAAAAAAAATAGGAAGGGGGGTGGGGGGTGGGGGGGTGAGAATAAAATTAGCTCATCAAAACTGTAATTTCAACAAGAATACATGAGCACCATTTGGACCAGACTAATTTACAGTACACTTCTTACAGAGAGCAGCTAGGCGTTTTGAAAACATCTCAACACTTTGCTTGCAATAAACAGTAAACATACCATAGAAATGTTTACAGTTCTTTACTATAGACAAAAATAATTCTAAAAGAATGTATGAACAAAAACAGCTTTGTTGAACCATAAGTCTACGAAATGAGCACAACCAGAAGTGTACCTGTAATGGACAAATCTCTTCAAAGCCAAAACATTTCCACGTCCCATCATATTATTTTTTTAAAGTCCCACACTAGATCTAATAGAATTTATTCCAATAAACGTGATCTTGTGACAGGCCAAAGAAAATCCCCACACAGAGAGTTTATATCAACAAAAGACAAAGAAAATACTCAAGAGTACTGACCATATTGTAGTGTAAAAAACATCTACAATAAAAATAAAAAGACCTCTACAGAAAGGCAAGACTTTGTGCATAACAGACCCTGAACAATCAATTTTAAAAAATTAAAGCAGGGGTGGGGGTGAGTTCATCACAGATTGTATGTCTTGTGACCGTTCCTTCAAAATTAAATAAGGAAAATCAATTATCAGCCCATACACCCTGAACATCAGATGTAATTGAGTGCTAAAAAAGAAAAAAATCTCTTAACATGACCTCAGCAAAGTCTTTAAGAGTGTCATAAACCAGACTGACTGCATAGTGCAAGACTCGGCCATACACCGTTTTGAAAAGTGACATATGACGAAGTCTTACATTGAGCAGTCGAGAAGAACTTCAGACTTAAAGGAAATCCAAATTCTTGTTCTAATATTTCAGCCACCAATGTGCTAAAACAAGCCATTTCCAGATTAGAATTGTCAACTTTTTATCCTTCTAGTTGGTACCCGTGGTTTGTTCAATTCAAGACATACAAATTTGAACTTGAAAAAGATCTTAATAACAGATGGACAAGTCATACAAAATCAGGGCATTATTGGGCTGAGAGGGAGTGATAACCTATGAGGGCTCAATCCACAGTATTTTGACAGTGTGGTCTGACACATATTTCAGTCACACTCACAGTTGTCATTTATCGCTGACCATTAGAGCCGCCCTGAGCCTACAGGCCCTGTACAGTGGAGCTCCCGTGTGTCCATTTTCAGATTTAAAATGCCATATGTGGTGTGCATTCATTTAGTACAGAGAAAGTTACACAGCTTGACATGCTCTGGTATATCAGGATAAAATTATCATGCAAAATGTTTCATTTTTCCCATTAGAAATAAGAAGGCAAAAGTTATCATTGTAACAGACTGCATCTTTTGGTATGGGCTCAGACAGGTTCATATTTTTGCAATGGTTATTTTCTTTCAAAATCTAATGATGGATGAGAATGACCAATGCTCAAAAGAATTTTTAAACTGTAAAGAGTATGATTTTGAAAGATATTATAATCAAATGATCTTTGTGAATGTATTAAATTTAACCCATTTTGGCCCAACTCTTCAATTTCCCTCGCTCCCATTGTAAGGGGTTCCTCACTATACATTTTACTTGAGGAAACTGACACACTAGATTTTTCAAAGTCCTAAATGGATGACATACCACATACTTTATGCAGGGATGAAATCATACGTACCCTTTTTATGGATGAAATCAGGTGAAAACTATTCACACAAACGACATCACAACTTAAACAAAGAAATATGGATGGCATCAAACATACAAAATACACAGAAAGGGATATATTATACAAGTTGGTATTACACATAACCAAAAAGTAAACTTGAATATGGACTACTTTTATCCTTCTCATTACTGAATGCCTCTCTCAGCATGGAGTGATGTAAATCTAGCAGCACACCAAAGGGAGCTCAGGTGCAGAGGTCACGTAAGCTCAGGGGTCCAGGGCTCAAAGCATAAAGACGCTTGCAGTTCAGGCGATTGCAAACTTTTGTTAAGTGTATGCAAAACTGTAGTAGCCACAATCAACCTATGATCACAAGAAAACATGGCGTCAAATTACCAACTGGGATTACGAGTTACAATACGCAGCAAGTGGTTATTTCACTTATGTCACCATACAACAACAGTATCAATAATTAATTATATACCATTAGGTTCCGTGAACGCTTGCACCAAGTCAAAACAGTACAACACAACAAACAGAGTGGTACATACATGGAAGAAATCCAACACCAAGCAACCCCTCAAAATGAGACTGAGTCAGAAACTATAATGAAAACCATTTAGTCCCATTAGAAAAGGTTTTATTGTTAAACTTTAAGATTAGCATATTTGTATCAGTCCCGTAGACAGAGGCATTTCCCTAACAGAAAGTTAGGTTCCCCGCTGTTGAAAAAGAAATTTGAAAAGAAAAAAGACCTCCTTGAATTGATATATGCCTGCACTACAAAAGTATTAGAGTAAACTAGTTATTCTTTGAAAATGACTTAATTTAAAATACAAGGCAAACATAAGGTTTTATTTTAAGACATATCATTCTCCAAAAATAAGTTTCTAAAAAAATATAAATAAATAAAAAGCTGATTTCAACCCCCCAGCCTTTCTAGACTGATCTTTCTTTAAACCTAATGATGTAAGTCTCATTCTGAGTTGTCACCTGTCACATGGATCAGCTTAGGTAAAGGGGAACAATTATAGGAATGCACCACCGTCAACAGTGGGAACAAAGAAAGTGAAAAGGAAAGGATTTTTTTTTGGGGGGAGATATTATTTACAGCATAAATTATACTACAAAACAGTTTGTGCTTTGTGACATACTCATTCAGACACATTGGAAGCTGCTCAACCCTTGAACGTCATTAACATTTAGCATCCGGTATTTTCACGACAAGTCTTGGAAAAAAAATTTACGCGCATTTTCACGACGTCGTGAAAAAAAATCTACTCGCATTTTCACGATCTGTCAAAGACACATAGATGTACACTAAAGAACTGTTTAAAAAGGAGATAACTCTATGAAAAGATATTATAATGGCTCTTACTGCAGAGGTTTAATCCCATTAGCTAAAATACAATTTTTTTAGGTAGATCTAGAACTTATTTCCGATTTTGAATAATGCCATTCCGATTAAGGTGTCAAAACAACCGGATTTGCGATGCGATGGGTGCAAAGAGTACTTCCAACTTTCCCTTGCGAAACCTGTAGCCTAGATCTACATCCCGAAATTATGTAGGCTTACTTGCCGCATCACCATCTATGCCGCAACATGTATTTAAAAATCTTCAGAGAGAGAGAGAGAGAGAGAGAGAGGGAGGGAGGGAGGGAGAGGGGGAGGGAGAGGGAGAGAGAGAGAGAGGGAGAGAGAGAGATGGGGAGAGAGAGAGAGAGAGGGAGGGAGAGAGAGAGAGAGAGAGAGAGACAGAGAGGGAAAGAGAGGGAGAGGGAGAGGGAGAGAGGGAGGGAGAGGGAGGGAGAGGGAGAGGGAGAGGGAGGGAGAGGGAGAGGGAGGGAGGGGGGGGAGCACACATGCTTTCTTGCTCCTCGGGGAGTAGATCTAGAATGTAACCCCTCGGCAGTAAGTTGTAGATCTAGGCCCATTTGCGTGCACTCGACCATAATGTTTACAAATCAAGAACAGGATGAGCTTGAAGTACTGCCACTCCGCCGGGTAGTGTTTCGACTCGTCTTTGATTGTGTTGTTCTTGGCAGTGACTGATTTCAAGGATTTTTTGCTGAAAACATACTTTATACTGCAGTACGTCCGAATTTCTTCCTCAAACTCACAATACGATTAAAAAATTCGTCCCACTTCGAAGGGATGGGGATTGGCATCCACCATTCTTATTGAGAGAGTGAGAGAAGGAAGGCAGGCATGGCCAGAGGGCAGATAGTCTCTTTATATACACCCTCTGGCATGACCCAGCTGTTCACTGATTGGTCCAAAGTTAAAAACATGTGAAAAAGCACGTAATTTTTGCACGTACATTTTTTTTCCCACATGTTGTGAAAATACCGGATGCCTTAACATTTTACGCCACTATGAACCAAAGAGCAAAACGCTATACCCAGAGAGATTCCCGATACCAGATTGTAAATTTTTTAAAAACCTGCAAGATGGTTGCCCATCTTACTCACCACTGAAAAAAAAAGCCCTGCATCATGCTCAAAACACCCAGAAAGCGTTACATTATAGCTCAATGGTTAGAGTTTATCCCATTGGCAAGATAGCTGAAGCATAATAATGACTGGCAACAAAAAAAATTTTAACGATAAAAGAGCTGACCAGTCTTGTTTACAAAAGCTCACTTGCAACAAGTTATGGTCATACACAATGCTACAGTCACACATTTACACACACACACACATGCTGTGCACATAGGCATACAAACAGCTACCTGCTACCTGTGCTTCCACACCACAAATACACAAACACACACACTCACAAACACACACAGATATCATGTAGCACAGTAAATTGTCAAGCATGAGGCAGCAGCCACGAGCAGACAACAAATCCACGTTTGATACCAGCAGTTCTGATTCATTGTAGTGACATACTGGAAATAACAACAACAAAGCTCTTCAGTAAGAAGAACAAGACAACAGATTGAACTTTCAAATGGCAAAATGGACAATCACAACAACAACAAAATGATACACAGACATCGTATGATCACGTGTTGTGTAACTGGAATATTAAAAATATTGTCTCCATGGCTGATACAACACGTCAGTGTCATTTAAGACTAATTGTATAATCATGGCCAGTATGACACACAGATACAACAATACCAGTGATTTCAAACTCAGTCAAGTCGACAAAAAAAAGCAAACATCAAAGCTAATCCCAGCGTGTTTAACATTTTTAAAAACCCAATAACTAGACAGAAAAACGCAATTTCAGCTTTTATCGAAGCGACTGAAACCATCTTACCCCCACAGCATCAACAACACAATCTAACAAACAAAATACACAAAAGGTCTGAACTCGCTTAATGGGTTTCCATGAAGAAGCAGAAAAGCAATTTTCACCTATGCAAGAATTCGCTGTAGTTCACTGGTAGTAAGGGGTAACATCCTCCCACCTATGAGTATCAAAGATTTTAGGGTAAATTTGTTACCCTGATTACCCCAATTTTGTCTTTCCAATACATACATATATATACATCCATGCGCCAATACTTCTTTAATACATCAGCTTACTGTTGACACCGTGGGGTCAAGACGTTCAGGGCTGTGTCATTGTGGTTTAATGTTACATTTGTGCTTTATTATTCATATTCAGACCAAAGAGAGCAATTGGGTCCCATCTCATCCCTAGAGACTCTATACAGCACTAGGCAACGAGAAAGTTCACATTCAACTTAGCTGCACTAATACATCTCTCTGCCCATAACAAATACATGTAAGATTACAATGAAAGATGAAACTTAAATACTGTGGAACCTGTAAAAGTTTAGTCATAGACTCGCCACTGATAGATTAGCACTAGATCTATATTAAAATTCCTTATGCTTGAAAATATCACAAAAGTTGTCGGAACTACTTCTGTTGTACCATCATGCCTATGAAAGTGTGCTATCGGCGATTTGAAAACATTTCTTTTCATCTTTTCAACCAACAGCAAAGGTGTTTAACTAAAACCACAGGCAAGGTACACAAGTGTACAGAAACTAACTTGTATTTCTGCACAGACAGTATCGAATACATGACACATGTCCATCATCATCTGATCAACCTCTCTGAGGGATCTGTGGGCCGATGTCTGACGTCTCCGTCGTCATCGGTGGACAAGAGCATGTCACAGTCTGCCTCATCATTCTTCTCGATGCGGCTGTAGCATTTGACAGAGTCCGTGTTATGGAAATATTTCACCCGACCCTCTGGAGCTGTGTCGATGTAAATGGTCTTAGCACTCTGGATAGAATGCTTCAGGAAGTTGTCCACCACCCAGAAAACAATGGCCTACAACAAAGCAGGAGAAAATAGTATCAGTTTTGAACAAAACTTTGTTTGTTCGAAGATACAAACATGAAAATTTCCAAAAAGTCTTCTTTTTTTTAAAATCAAAGGAACAAAAGCACAGAAATAGATTTTTTTTAATTCAGGGTTGGTAAGAGGGTTAAAAAAACAAACTACAATTCTTGCTCAGTGAAACATGAGAGCACAGATAACTATTCATTTGGAGCTGGTACTGATCAAATAGTGTTTTTGAGCTGACTTCACTTTTTTGTTTGTAACTGCTGATGATATGTACTTTCTATCAGCACACCACAGATTATGAAAAAAAACTTCACATACATTGATGCTATGAGTTGATCAAACCTCATAAACAAAATATATGAGTATACAGACCTGCCACTATATGAAATCTAAAAATCAGGATATCAGAGTAAAAAAATCAGGATCTGGAGAAAAAATCGGGATCAACGGCAAATCAGTCGAGAGGGGTCCCTTTTGTGAGGTAAACATGCAAGACTAAACTTTTGTAGCAGGAATAAGTTCAAATCTAGGCCACAAGTAGAGGAAAAAACAAAGAGAGCATGTACTTGAGTAAGAGTTGGATAGACTGGGGAAGCACAGGTTGCAGTGACGCTGACTATTTCGAAGTCTTGAAAATTGTTTACACATAAGTCTAACCAACAATGCAATAGGCATGCGCTTTTAATAATACAGTGACAAGGTTTGACTTCAATCACAAATACACTCAAGGAATTCCTCCTCTCCCCCTCCCCAAATTGTGCCATCCTGCAAGACAGCTCCAATAAAAATTTTAATTTGGTTACAAGGCTATTTATTACTTTTTTCCTGTTCCTTTATCCTCAATAAGTACACATATCACATCAAGCACTTCAAACCCAAGGGTCTAAAAATACCCACCACTCCCCCTGAAACACTCGCTACTCATAGAGGCCCTGTCACGTAAAGCGAACGAGCGTTTGAAAGTTTCACTGACCAGTCTTGGTGATGGGCCCGACAAACAAGAACTCCGACGAAGCTTGCTTTTAAAGTAGCAGCAGAACAATGACGAATATTGATAGTTTTTAAGCCTGTCATAATTGTTACAGTTATCAGGTCATCATCGGAGAATTCTGGGTAACAAAAGCGAAAGTTGATCTTGAGAGTATCCAAGTCTGAAAGCAATACTGATACTACTTCGATTTAAGTTGAGAAATAACGCGCGAGGGTCAACTACTAGATCCGGGGTCGATGTTTCAGAAAATAACGTTCGAAGTTCCTGCTGACAAAAAGTCCAGTCTGTCAAATAGTGCCTCTAAGAAAAAATAGAAAGCAGAAAATTTTTCTTTTCTTTAAGAATTGGACCCATCAGGCGCAACAACAAAAAATAAGGATACGCACAATCGAAATCAGGAAAATCGGGATGCTTGAGATTTGGGGCAAAAAATCGGGATACCCTGATTAAATCGGGATGAGTGGCAGATCTGAGTATAACTTTTCCTCTAGAGATCACGCGACCAGCATTAGTCAAGAAACAAACAGAAATAAGTGGCAAGACTGTGTTTTTAGAACAACCTTTCTTAGAGCAGAGAATTGCCTATCAAATTCTGTCGACTACAAAGATACAGGACTCTACTACCTTCAAGCCATGATGAGAATGTTGTTTTTTTTTACCTCAAACAACTAGCTTAAGGAATGAAAAAAAGATTCTCAAGATATCAAGCAACAAGTAATAGAAGGTTCCCCTTAAAGACACAGTTCACCATAAAAGCTACCAGCATAAACCATCCTCAACAAGATCACAACTAGTAAATAGAATTGTTTGTTTTAGTAAGAGTTTTACCGTGCTCACAGCAGCATAAGGTCACATGAGTGCGCGAAGAAAGTTGGTTCTATTCGCAACAGTTCACTGCACAGCCTGATTCTGGTCAACACCTCTATTAAAAATTTAAATGCTAAATAAAAAAAAATTGACATAAATAAATCTTTAATTTAAAATATCTTTTTAAATAACATTGAAAATGTTAAACAAGGTTATTTACAATTTTCCATAAAGGCCAATAGCCTAGACATTCTGTTAAAATGTGTCTTATGGTAAGGAAAAATCTGTGTCACATCCGACACAAAACGGCTTCTCTTCTCCCTGAAGGAGGTATTTGTGTGTCAGGGACGTGTGTCCGATGCATAATCGAGTAAAAATGACTTCATCTCTTCTGGAGAGGCCCGAAGGTTTTCACGGACCCAGTTTGGGCTTGATGTTGTGTAGTTTATTGTTTTCTTGTTTTTTCCAACGAGTCTCCCTCAGATTTAGTCAATAGAATTATGTCATGACTTTATCACAAAATAACACCACCTTGGTATGCTGCTTTTGACAGTGTCTGATGCCCTCATTTCTCAACTTTTGAATGTAATCCTTCTACTCTTGACTTTTCTATGTGTGACATCTTTTATTGACTTGATAATTAGCCCATAAGTCCTGAAAATTCATTTGACACAATGCATCTGATCTTTTATTATATCCGAGAAAAGAAATTTTACGTTGCAAAAACTCACATTGACGATGAGGGGCACTATGAACATGACCAGGACAATCTCCAGCTGTGGGTCTGTGATAGGAGACATGATGAACTGGCGCACCTGCAAGAGACACAAGAAACCACTCAGTACTAGTCAGATCTGTTTCTTTTGCTAAGGCAAAGGGATTGCTGAGAATAGGTTCATCAATAAACACATTTTCAGAAAAGTGGACCATTTTTCTACCCAAATGTCATGTCCTCCAGCTCAAAGACAGCCATATATGCTGTAATAGAAGGAACAAAAATCATTCATACTGATCATTTCTTCAGTGTGTTGCAAGAACTAACTTAGAATTTTTTCTTACTTAACATGCCCTGGCAGGCCAGCCTTCCTTTCACTCTATCAGCCAAGGTCTTAACATACACTGTGTTCACAAAATTTCAATCTTAATCTGTAACAAAACTAGGCACCTAATGCGACATACCATTTAACTAGTAGAGTCTACGAAGTCTGCATAAACAGCTCGGTCCTTTGGCACAAGAGGTAACTACTTTACTTTTACATAATGAGACCACCAGTGCTTTTTACTGACAGGATAAAATCAGGGCCGCACTGAAAACTGAATCCACAGTTTTTTAAGTGGACTATCCCACTCAGGTAGCATCGTCACTACCAGCAATATACCTTTGAAGAGCATAACAGCACACGAAGATCCACACAAGTTCAAAACTCATAATCAATATCTTTATGAATGTCTTGCAACTTTCAATCAGCTGCAAACATTTTGCTGGTGATTTGAAATTACGATCTTGTTTTGAGAAAAAGTCAAGAAGCTTAATGCAACTCTGTGTGCCGTATCATGTTGCTAATAAAAACAAAGGTCTCTGAAGAAGCTAATCTCAATGTTGATGCTTGCAACACCCAAAAGGTTTTTCTGGCATATATGAAAACAACAGCCATCGGAAAAGATTTCTGATATTGTAACAGACACAAACTATACCACCTGAACTGAACTAGTAAGAAATAGCCTGATTATGCTCTCTAATTATGATGATAAAAGCAACCTACCTTCATCCAAAACTTGAAGAGCACCAATATTGTCATGAGAAGTTTCTCAATGATCATGACAAGGATGTAGAGGGCGCACTGGCCAACCCATGCGTTGCACTTTGGGGGATCACCTAAGAAGAAACCAACAAATGATATGATGATCCCAGTAAAAGACCCACACACTCAAACAACCAGTTTGTGACGTGTCTGCTGATGAAAATGATGAAATATACACAAACTAATCCAAGTACTAAAAAGAACAGGAACTAACTTGTTCTCTCCTCTGAGCTGCGCAGTACCCCAAGTTAACTTCACTTGTAACCTTAGAGCTATACAGCATCATGTATGACTTCTCTCAATGAGATGAAGGCAATGCATGATCGTGTTAAAGAAGAGTGAGAGTGAACAGCAAAAAATCATGAACAGCCAACATACTGCCTGCTCCGGCAAAGCAACAAAGTAGATGAGTGGGGTAAAGAAAAAGAACTTATGAATATGAAGACAATGGAAAGGAACACTAGGACATCGATAGATGAGGTCAATGCCTCTACTCAAAATACTAATGCCTTTACAAATACAGTCGAACCTGTGAAAGACGGAATCGCAAGGGAGCCAGAAAAATATTCTGTCTTAGACAGGGGAATTCAGGGGGAGATGGAGGTTGGGGGGTTCACAAGCCAGGCTGGTGGGATTAAGGTTGCTTGTCCGATCAGCAAGCAGTGGTCAAAACTTCATACCTCTCAATTGCTATCCTGTCTGATAATGACATGTGTCAGTCTTACTTATCCAATTACCACCAGTGCTTGCCTTTCATATGACCACTGTTTGACCTATTAAAAACACAAATGTTTGAAAATCTCCTTTGCTTCCACCCTTAGCCCCACCCACCAATGCCACCCCTCACTGCCATCATTGTAACAATGATTTGAGGAACTCTTTTCCCAGCTGGCCGTTCGATCAGGGCGGCAGGCATTGGTCAATCTAATTTCACACCTCAGGCTTCTGGCTACCCTGGAAAGTTTCCGTAGTGGCTCGCTACTCAAGCACTCTCACGGGCAGTCGTGAGATTACCAATACACTGACCATCTGCATCGCTCACGGCTCACATGATGGGGTAACATCTATCCCCAAATTGCACCCCTACTCCCCTTCCTCGCTCAGCGGCATGGCCATAGTGTTAAGTTTAGAGCCGGCGGAACCAAACTTGCGAGTTGTGTTTAAAATCAGGGCTGAGCGGGCAAAGCATTTTCTGTCTTAGACAGGTGAATCCCTCGGAAGGGAGCGGATTTTTCTTTCCGTTTCCGTGTTGGACAGGTTTCCGTTTTATACAGGTAATTAAAGAGGAATATATATCGAGGGGGGAGCGGGGAGATTCCGTTAAGACAGGTTTCCGTTTTATACAGGTTTCCGTTAAGGCAGGTTCGACTGTACTTCAGAAATAATAGACTAAAAAGGTATGAAATTTTATGGATGTGTTTGGAAATGAAAATCGCTATTCAACCTAAAATTTTAGTCCAATTTTTTATTTGAAAATAAAAGAACAATAGAAAAAAAGTTACTCTGCAGGCACAGCATGAGGTCAAATTTTGTTGAAAGAGGACTAAAAAAAACTTTTGAAGTGATGCAATATGTCTCCTTTAAACAATCATCATCATCACAAAAGGGAGCACTTGTTGACCACCACAGAGAGTCAATATCTCAACTTTGTTAAGTTTTCAGTAAAGAGAAAAATGCTGTCAAATATTTTACAGATCATTATTGGGAACAAAAGAACATGATGCTGTCTTTTCAAAGAAAACAAACTAATGAATACCCAAACCAGCACCACCAATGACAGAGAAGGTGTATGGAATACGGCCAAGACTATGGGTTGAAAATTCCTTAACATAGATGGAAAGTACCGCTTACCATATTCCCCAAAGTAGAGTGTTTTCCAGCCATAACGATGTGAAGCCATCTGGGACATCTTGAGACCCAAGTAGATCACTAAAAGGCCAACAGTAGAATCCAGAAGGAAGCTGATGAAATACCTGTGAGGACAAAATTCAAGTGAGAATATTTTGCACGACCAGACTCGAAGAAGTACATTCAAAGCTAACATGAAAGATGCTGAAATACAAATTATCTGTTTCACAGGGCCACTTTATGTTCACTATTAGCTCCCCACGTTTTATATGAAAATGGTATTTCCAAGTCCTGTATCACTTCTCATTCAAAGCTCAAGCTCTGCTGTACTGCAAACTCCTCTTAATGAGCCTTTTGATTTTAATTTAACATGACGATAAATACGAAAGAAAAATAAAACGTAATAGACTTTTCATTCACACCAACAGGTTTATAGCTTTGCTCTCAGGGATGAGCTTCAGGTATTTTATTTTTAGAAGAGGTCTTATGGCGCTCACAACTGCAAAAGGTCATATGAGAGCCAGAAGATTAAAGGTGTTACAAGAGAGTAACAAACATAAAAAAGAAGAAGGGGAGATAAGGACGATAGATGTTTGCAAACCACACCAGAGCACCCGCCAACCACCCATTGAGCTTCAGGAATGTCCTTCAGGAATGGCTTTGACATTACATAAGAAAGATCTCATTCACACCACACTAGTGTCACCATTCCAAGGCACCATACCATGTGCATGGATCTCCCTTGAAGACATCTGAGAGAAATAAGTTTGCGAAATGTAAGACTGCAGCACCAACTCCCTGCTTAGAAGTGTCAAAAAACCTGCCGGAAGACAAGAAGAATGAAATTAAGAATTGTGAATCTGATATGGAAAAATGCACAAATGAATTCAATACACAATATAGAGAATAGAGAATGTACTTGTATAATCAAATCATTTGTAACGGCAAGGCTAGCTGTCAAAGAGAATTAATTACACTGACACAAAAACTGGCATTTAGTGTTGAGAAATTGAAACAAATAGTAAAAATGACACAAAAACAAGAAGGAAAAAAACAATCAAAAAGGCAGAAACCTCCACAAAGACAGGAGCTGTGAAGAAAAAGACGAATAAGAAAAGCAAAGAAAGAAGGTGAGTTTCCTATCGTCCCTGAAACTCAACCACAAAACAGGAGGAAAAACACCATAAACAGTAGGTTTGAATGTGGCATTACAAATACAGTTGTCAGAAGACAGAAATGACAATAAATAAAACTGTCGTCACAAGAAAAGACAACATAGACCTGATAAAATAGGACCAGTAAACAGGAAGGTAAACATCAATGGAAACTAATAGCAGGACAAAGTTAAAGCTTCTCTATAAATGCTGGCAGAATGAAAAAAAAAATAAAAAAAATAAACCGAACGATCTGTTTTACAGTGACAATAACGGACAAAAAGTTGACAGGATAGAGGACATCAACAACCCACTAATAGTAGTAGATAACAAAAGCTGTGGTAGTAACTTAGTGTGTACAGCAAAACCAGTGTACATATAAAGACCATGTTTCACAGGAACAGATTATATTATCACTTTTTGATATTCATCAATATAAAATACAGAACATCAAAATCAAGAAGGGACAAAAAAGCATGCCCACTCACCAACACCTGCAGTTGGTGGAGGAGAGTAAGAAATTCTTAATCACAGGTACTGTAAGAAGCAATAAGGGCTTCTTCTCAAGCCTCACACTTGTCAGGACAGCTACTTCGTTTTAGTCAGCGACGAAATTTACAAACATTAAAAAGTTTTGGGCTCCAATTATATAATAAATTTTTGTCCTGCTAGAACAATTTACAACTCTCCGCCTCGAGTCTATTACCTACATTATGTCTAGCTGGATGGGGTACCTAGACCCTAACCACCCCCCCCCCCTAAAATAACAAAGTGTTTTTGGTTGAACCAATCAAAAGGCAATTGATTAATACTCTGAAATATCCATACCGTCAAACTGAGATTGCAAAAAACCTCCAAAACATAAAACAAAGCTAAAGCAGATACAAATACAGCACACAGGGGTAAACTTCACCCCATAGTGATTTGATAATTAATTAAAACAAAACACTGCGTCTTGAAAATTAAATGTTTGCAGCCAAACCAGAAGCAATAGATCTAATCTTATATCTCATGAAATGCTCTTGAGTGACATATATGCTCTATAGTGTTAACAGTATTTCAACTGATTTCATCCAATTTTATTCTGCTTTGGCCCATCGGATATCCAGAATCGCTTAATCTGGCCTACAGCTTGGACATGCTTGCCTGTGCATGAAATACAATGTGCTCAGGGAATAGAAGAGAATAGCATGGAGCAGTATTTTGTAAAAAAAAAAAGAAGAAGAATAACAGAAGAACCCTTTAAGGTGCATACTCACCAAATCATCCATGGTCGCCTTGAATGTTTGGGCTCACAGTATCTTTTCACTTTGGTTGAAAAGAAAGAGAGAATAGCATTTTTACACTCACTATCAATGGACATTTATAATCTAAGTAATGAGATTTAAAAAGGATCAGACACATCAGAAGGAATACACCCATCTTATTTTGTATCACTTACCCTCTTAATATACAATAAAATCAAAACAATTTGATTGCAAATCTTGATTTAAAAAACCCATCTTTTTCTGCTTCAAATGTAAGTCGATAATTATTGCTCTCAGCAACACAAATTGTAAGGTATATGTGACATTGAACAAAACACAAAGTCGTCATTACGTGACAATCAACAAATTGCATCAAATGTAAACAATTTTGTTATCTTCCCACAAATGTGAGGCCACACTCTTCTCTGAAGAAAAAAAGGATTGAAGGGAGACATGGTACTCACCTATGAGGGAAGTGAAGGCCAACAGGGCCAGCAGAGCTTGCACAAAAAGCCCCAGAACTCCGCGTAGGTCACCATGCCCACAGTGCAGCTGTGACTCCTTGTCCCCAGAGTCCATGGCACCCTGCAATGATGTGTGCGACGAATTCACCAGAGCGTAACTTTCAACTGTGTGCTCTCCTCCGAAATCAAAAAGCAGGCCCATAATAAACGGCCGAACAATTGTCCTGTCCTCTCCTTAACTGACCAGCTCATGGTTCTGTCGTCATTATAAATTTTAAAAAAGTGGGGTTTTTTTATAACAAGAGTTGCCACCTCCTCAAGACTTGGCCAAACACTTTGGAACTGATATTAAATCTGGCAACACAGATGATTCCTACATAACAATCACTGATGCCAGAACTCCTCAAAGAACACGTCTTGCCACACACACATCTATAGTCATTTCATAGATGATCTGAAAACAAATAATGGATGCAATTTGTATCACATTCTCATCTCACAGATGTAACAATTTAACAAATCCTAAAATGTTCTCAGATTTAAATTAAGTTATACAGTTATATGTCAGTCTCCTTGAGCATGAACCTTGCAAAACAATACAAAGGAGTGGTAATAGAGATAAAATGTCAAATTCTCTTTCTTCCATTACAATAAAACTGAGGAATAAAAGCTTTAGAAGAGTAACCAGAATTTTGGGTGATTTAGACCATCAGAAATGGGCTCATTTTATTGTCCTTATTGGAATTCGTCATTCTATTTCTATCATACATTTGCCATTGGATGTTATTTTAATTTTACACCTTATCCAAACTGTTGAACTTGTTTGATCATCTCACTTTTTCTTAAGAGAGTACAAGAAGTAAATTTACTGTAGTTTCTTTAACTCTTAATCTGTGAGCTTATGTGACTCTAATCCACTGATAAGAACAACTTCTTCTTATGGCTAGCATACCCTGCAGGGCATCAGGGTCCCTCAGCGGTCAGAGCAAGTGCCATGGGAGGTCATGGAAAAGTAAGTTTTCATTATGAATAGCGTGGGGGTGCGTTAATCGATAATGAAAATAATGCACTATGATCTTTCATACTATATTCTCTCTCAATTCTTGCAGTGCTCAGCATATTGGTCCCAATGCTAATTCTTGTTACAGTGGTTTCTGGCTAGCTAATAGTCTATTGCATAAAAGCATGATGTGCCACTAAAAGCACATTGGCCACTTGGAATCAAATTTTTCCTATTCAATTATTAATATTTCTAATAATTCTAATGAGTCATAACTTCAAGTCAAAATCAGCAACTCTGTCTAATTAATAGCACAAAACCCTTCCTCTCCTTGTGTCCCTTTCTTTACTTTTTTTCTTGAAATTGAATCTTTGTCAGGGAGAAAAAGATGTAGGGAGGGACAACAAAACAAGGTGTGAGACAGAGTTGCATAAATGAAAAACAAAAGATAAAACGATATAAAATCTAGATCTAGATCAGGGCTCCCAGTGAAAAATTTTCCCAACCCCTGAACTTTGTCGGAGGATCGCGATAGACGCAACAAAGTGCACAAGTAGGCCTACAAACATTGCAAAAGGAAGAGCAAGAAAACGAGCACTGAAAGGATCCATGTAAACAAACAAAACATGTTTGGGAAAAGAAAATGTTGCCAGATACATGTATTCGCATAAATTGTGAATGTCAACCGATTTCGATAAAAACCGGAAGGCAAAGTAAGTAGTAGTTAGAACAGGAAGTAAAGGTGGGCAGTTAGTGCCAAACTGGCATACATCGCTCTATTATTATGTTCTCCAAATTTTCGCCTTTTTTCTCGGAGAAGATAATTATGAAACCCGTGCAGATGCGAAGCGCGACGGAAACATGACCGCGCGATGCTCAGCGATTCCCCGGCCGCTGATCTCAGCCCCTGACTTTCTCCGAACTGCGAACCCCGGAAATTCGCAGATCCGCGGAAGTCTGAGAGCCCTGCTAGATCTAATCTGAATCTATAATCCGAGTCTAAAACTAAAAGTCATATGAATAAACTAGACCTAAAGTGTCAGAGTCAGACCATTAGATCTAGATCTAGATTACGAAGAATGAGTCGAATGATTTAGAATCTAGATCTGCGATTTTGTAGTTTTGTTCGTTTAAGTCCACAGCTGAACATCAGAGACCCTGAATTGCCAGGTAATCATTGAGGAGTGAACTAAGCGTAAGACAGGAAAAAAACACTGAAGTAAAGCCAGAAACTCAAAATTAAAATTCAAGCAAAGAATGGCGCTTTATCGGCAGTTCCCACCCCCAATTATCAATTGCCGGTTTGGGCCCCAAGAGTAAGAGTGGGGGGTTCAGGGGGGGTGTTCTCGTGCGCATCTCTTGCCCTTCATTGTACTTTGCTGGACCAGGAGTAGGCCTAGGCCTAGCCTCGCAGAGTCGCGAGAAAATAGGAATGGTAGTGTCAATTGCCACCGAGTGACGCAGTGGCAATTGACACAAATTGACAGCAGCGTCAATTGCCACAGAGTAAATTGAAGCTCTTTTGCGTTGGTGAGTAGATCTAGCCTATTGGGCTCGAGTGCTCAGTGTTGTCCATTTGCCTCTCTGGGTAAAATTGTACTTTACCGGACCACCGGTCGGAACTACTTTCGCTATGGCGCCCCTGGTTTCTAGTGGCCCGCTATTCTTCGTTTCCGAGCTCCCCTACTCACTCTCCTACTCAGTTTTCTACGTCCTCACTCTTCAACTGCCAGCAATCAACTGACGTCTCTTACCGGGTTTTTCAGTCATCACGACCGTGCCATCGTGCCCTTTGACCCTGACACCTTGAGGCTAATTGGTCAATCTAATCACGTGGTCCACTATTCTTATTTGCTCGCGACTCTGCTGGCTTGGCCTACTCCTGGTCCGGCAAAGTACAATGGAGGGCTAGAGATGCGCACGAGAGCTCATTTGCATAATTGCAACCCCCTCGGCCCTGCTCGCGACTTGGCGAGTATCTACCCCGATTGTCCGCTCATGTTATTGTTTATAATATGTGTGTGTGAGTGTCTTTAAATTATTGTTGCCCTGGCCCCCCCCCCCCTCCCCCCACTGTTGTTACATTGAATGTAAACACGACTGTCCGTTCATGTTATTGTTTCGCATTTTTGTGTGTTTTCTTTATTATAGTTTCCAGGGGGGCAAGCCCCCCTGAACCCCCCCCCCCCCCCACTGTTGGTATGATACACGATGGTCCATCAAAGTTAAATCCCCTGCCCACTCTCAACCACCACCTCTCGCTCACCTCGCCTCGCCAGTCGAGCTGGCTTGCGCTGTGCGTGCGCGAAGTCGCCCGCGGAACTCTACCTTTTGTCTGCACGCAGAGTACTATGACTATGAGAGCGTAGTTAGGCTAGGTGTGCGTAGTAATCACGGGCCTAGACGGGTGGTCCGGTAAAGTACAATCCAGCCCCTCTCTGTCCCTCTGTGTGTGTGTGTCTTTTCCTGACCCCGTTCCCCGATATAAAATGAATTTCTGCTTGAGTTTGTGTGCGTTTGTGACCTACTTCTAGAATTGCCTGTGTTGGTTCTACACCGAAGTGTAGGCTAAGACGAGCCTAGATCTGGGCCTACGCCTCATTGAAAACACGCCAAGTTGGTACCGTAGCTCTAGACTAGATGCTTGTCCAATGAAATTAGTAGAGAACAAATTGACCCATTAGTATTAGCCTTCATTAGGCACATTATGAACAGAAAGCTAAAGATAGTGCTGTTTTCAGACTTGACACCGCTTCACTCCGTGGCAATTGACACTATCATCAATTTTTGTCAATTGTCCCCGCAACTGACCATTTGATTAGCAATGACAATGAAAAATTAAATTTTCATCCAAATTGCTTAAAAATAGGCTTAAATGAAAATAGAGTAAATTCTAAGAACTATGGTTTTTAAATTTTAAAAATCCATTGATAAATAAAAAAGTTATTGGGATTTTTGTTTGCAAAATGTTGGGGGACCTTCATATAGGAAAAAATCGCCAAAATGTGGGACATGTTTTGATGTACTTTGAGGAAAAACTGTTCATAAGTCAGTAATGAATTGGAGCATATGAATGAAACTTGGCATCTCCATGTGATTTTTAGTGCCGAATCTAGTTTTGCTATCACTTTTTCGATGTCTTCATTACTTTGGATCTTAAAGACTGATATTTGCCTGAAATTTGTTGAATTGCGTGACATCGTTTTTACGGCGACGCGATCACCCCTTCTAAAACTCAGTAAAGCGCTATCGGGAAAACCCGCGATGTAGTCATCGGTGACCCATTTGGTTATAGGCAGCCAATCACATGCCGCCTAGCGATCACGCGCCTCTAGCGTGCCGGCACCTCGCGTTTGGAATGCGCGATCAAGTTTCTAGATCTAGGGTTTTATCAATGGGTGGGTGGTCATTTTAAGGGCGCTTTTCGGTAGTTCCCACCCCCCTTATTTGATAGAGCCTGACCTACATCTAGATCTACGTTTGATTCGCGGCAAGCTAAGATGTCAAACCTAACAACTGCAAAACATTAAATTGTGGTAAAATTCAGGGGGGCATGCCCCCCTGAAACCCCCCACCTTGTTTTTATTAGGTCAGGGGGGCAAGCCCCCCTGAAACCCCCCTACTCTTGGGGCCAAAACCGGCAAATAACAAATGCGGGGTGGGAACTACCGAAAAAGCGCCATTTTAAGTTGGTACGGAAAATCTACTTAACGCAGAGATCTGAAATTTTACAGCAATAAAGAAGACATGTGGGGCGCTTGTGTGGTCGACGATCAACCCGCAGCTCCGCTTAGTTTTCGAACCGCAGAGGAAATTCGCACAAACATGGCAATATCTCCAGTTCTAGTAATCGTTCGGGATTGTACGCTGGCATGTCGTTAGTTTAACCTCTCCTCTGGTTGGTTGCCGAGTTTCATTTATTTTCGTCCAGGAGTTTTCCCGTAACTAAACTTAGAAGAGAGTCACTTCTGATTCCGAGCGGCCCAAAAAATACCCCTCGCGCGGAGGCCGATTTCTGGCCCAAGGCGCAGCGGGCGATTGGCATTGCTAAATTGATTGATTAGATTGACCAATTCGCCTCAAGGTGTCAGTGTCGTGGGTCAAAGGGCACGGTGGCATGGTCGTGATGACTGAAAAACCCGGTAACAGACGTCAGTCAGTCCGTTGCTGGCAGTCGAAGGATGAGGACGAGGAAAACTGAGTAGAAATCAGTAATCTAGGCTTTCTAGGAGTAGGAGAGTGAGTTGGGGAGCTTGGAAAGGAAGAATAGCGGGCCACTAGGCACCAGGGCCAGGGGCGCCAGAGCCAAAGTAATTCCGACCGGTGGTCCGGTAAAGTACAATCTTACCGATTACTGTAGACTGTAGTAATTCGTTCTACCTGAGTGACGCTGTCACTGAAATGAGTCTGCGGTGGTGACACCCAACCTCTGCTTGTTGGCAGTTGGCAGTAGTTGATGTAGGAAGTTCGACAATTTCGTCCAACCAAGCACAGCATCCGGTTGACTCCACGCAATCGTAAATTGAACTCATTTGGATCTAAACACTTTTGTGCGAATTTATTCCTTTATACGAGACACGAGATGATTAAAATGGCAATCTTTAGTTTAATATGCAAGAACAAATTATATGTAACAGCAGAATATGTGCTGATCATTTACCACTGGGTCTATTTTCAAATTATGATGGAAAATTGAAATAAATCTAGCCAAACCGCTTTATTAAACTAGGCCTAAGCTATCTTACAACGTACGGAATCACAGATAGGTATCCCCTTTTGCCAATTTGCCTTGGGTACAGTTAAGAATATTTTGAAACCTCTCCGATGAAGAAAACACAAGGACATGAGAAAGAATGAACAAGGAAACTTTAAAAATAGTTTTCATTTATACATAGCATAGATCTAAAAGTTACAAAAATGTAGATCTGATTCCAAGCATTTCCCTCTGTAGAGATTGTTGACAAACTTCCCTATTTACCTGGCGTTGTACTGGCGCCATTCTTAAAAACAATAACAAATTAATTATTGTACCCGTAACTACCCTTCTTCCTTCCGTAAACAGTCAACAGTCAGTCAGTGTGTGTGAAGTGTTTTTCCGTGAAATTTACACTGCAGACTGGAGATCGATTAGAACTGTAGTCCTAAGTCTGGTAGATTTACAGTCTACAGCACAGCCCAGATCTACTAAAATAAGGCAGAGAATGGCTTGTTGTGTAAAGAGAGATGGATGGGAAGGGAGGATCTACTCGATTTAGGGCTTTCAGTAGGCTACGTTCACTTCAGCCCCAGTCAGTCTACTTTTTGCTCTTTGAGTTCTGTGCCAAACGTTAGCTCGCTACGCCCAGATTACCTTGCCTTACAGTAGGCCTAATCTAGATCTACAATAAGCTACTGCCACTAAGTTATAGTTATTAACTCAACAAACCAAACTACTAAAACCGTCAAACCTCTTGACTTTGACTGACTTTACTACTTTCACTTGAGAAAGACTCAGAATACTCAGATACTCTTTGATCTTTGATTCTGCCAGTGCCAGAATGTCTGAAGCTGTGAAGAAGGGCCTCAAATCTTTTGATGATTTCCTTCTGGACTATGATGTTTTCAAGTCTGATACAAGTACAAGAAACGTTACAGCAGTTTGCAATTTAGACTATGCTGCTGCTTCCCTTGCCGCCACTGTTCGACTTCTGTTGTCCAAAGATTTGGCAAACAAGACATTTTTGTTAGTGTTTGGAAAGAAGTCGAGTGAGAATCTAGATGACGCAGTGGCAGATACTGCTGATACTTCATCATCATCAGGGACAACATTTCAACAAGACTCCCAAGTCCAAGACCCGACAAGCCCAAACTCTACCAATTTTATTGGTCAGCAAAGTAGATCTAGATCTATGTTTGGTTCTCCCCTAAAGCTTGAAGCAATTGCGAATCTTTCTGGCAGTGACAATAGAGCTGTCACCTCAACACCGGTTGAAAAGGCGAAAAGAGTTGTTTTCTTACCCCCTGTTCCAGCTGATAAAGCGAAAAAGATATTGTCTGCTTTCGCTAAGAATAATTTGAGTGCAAGTGGAACTCAGTTGGTGACTGTGTTTTGCTTTGATAAAGACCAACCTAAAAAGCCTCTTTTGTATGGAATGTACAGAGGAAATAATATGCATGGAGAAATTGAACTTAGGACATTTAAAGTTACTGCCAAGATGAATGATTCAAAAGTGAATTTGGCATCTGTGGAACCAATGCTGATTAGCTGTGGTAAGAAATTGCCATGTTTATCTTTTTAGAATTAAAAAAAATAATTGTTTATAAATTCCATGACTGGCATACATACTGACTGGCAAGCTGAAACTGAAAATGAGACGAGACGAAGTAGTCACTGATCTTGATTTATATTTTAACATATGTGGGCTGTAGGCCTCTGTATAATATCCTATTCAGTTTTAGTTTAGTTTTGAAGTACGGCTGTGGTCAGGCTAGTTGCCTATCAGCCATTTGTTGCTTTCATTGCTTGTTCCTTCCTGCTCGTTGTTTTCACACTCTGTTATCTGTAGGTTGGTGCTCATGGATCTGGCAATTTGAAACCAATCTAGGTTCATGGAGAATTATATTTATATGTATGTGCCTTCCAGACCATGTCAATCCTATTCTTGAAAGCATTCAAGGATGGTGCAGACACCACTATTTCCGGTAGGGAATTCCAAGCGTTAAATGTGCATACACTGAAGAAGTTTTGGCGGACTGCTGTTTTTACATGGGTTTTTTTCAATTTTAGGCTGTGTCCCCTAGTGTTAGAGTGTAGATCCCGCAGTAAAATGTCTCCCGTTACGTTGTAAATTCCTGTTAAATACTTCTTGTAGCATTCAATCTTGTTGCCTCTAGCTCTCCGATAATAGTACAGCGATGGCAGATCCAATTTTCTGAGACGATCGCAGTAAGCAAGGTGCTGTAGTTCAGGAATTAGTTTGGTGGACCAATGTTGCACTTTTTCAAGTTGTTCTTCATCACCTTTAAGTCTGGGGTGCCAGACCACTATGGAAAAATCATCATTCATGATATTAAAGCCAGATTTTTAATTCTTTTTTTAACTCTTTTCCTACCAGGCCAAACAAAATCCACCTCTAGCCCATGGCTTTTCCCTGACCTATTTTTACACCCCCTACCCCACGGAAGGAAAATGTCAAAACATCCAACTAAACAGACACAAAAATCCTATAGAAATATCTTAAATAATATCCTATGGCCCATCAAACTGAAGGTTAAAAAATGATCTTCAGATGGTGGTACAATATTGCAGATTTATTTAAATTTATTCCAATTACATTTATATTACTTTGGGGTTTCTACTTTAAGTAAAAGTGGTAAATGTGGAAGGTGACATATATGAAATCAACAATTTTCCAGCTTTGAACGGTCATAAAACTAAAAAAGTACAACAACAGCACGATTCCAACTTCCCAGGTAGGTTGCTTCAGGTAATGCAAAGAAATACTGAAAGTTATGTGTGTGTACCTGTTATAATAGAAGTGAAAATATAGCCTAATATAGGAGGTAAATTTTTACTTTCACTCCCACACAACATGCACTGCTTCGGGGGTCAAACTGCATTATATATTGTTTGCTGCAGATCACGCATAAAGCCACTAAAACTGTCGCAAATCAATTACTTTCAAGGAAATTTCAAACCTAACTAAAATATCAAAATATGAGTTTAAACGGGGTGGCATGCCCACCTGTAACCCCCCAGATTTTTTTTTACCCCAGGAGGGCAGGCCCTCGTCTTATTTATGGGTAGGTAAAATCGATCACACCCTTCTCGTTTGGGTGAAAAATCTCGAAGGTTCCGTCTCCAAGTTGTGCATGTTAAAGATCCGTTGGTGGTCCAAAATCGTTTGTAGGTTTGGCCACCGCACAAGCAAAATTCTAAATTTCCTACCTACTGAAAAATGAATGTTTAATTTCAATGTGTCCAGCGCGCTCATATATAATATATATATATACATGACTTTATTTATACATATATGTGCACTTAAAACACACACACAAAAAAAAGGCAAATTAATTAAAGAATAGTTGGTGCAGGAATTATGGAATGTTTAGATGCTCTATATTTGTGTGAAAAGCTTAAACGTCAGATCATGTTATAATAATTTTATAATTATAACTTATGACGATGTGAGCAACTGGTCAGAGTGCACCACCCTCACTTACGGATCCAGCCCTTCACATTCATTGATTCAAACACAAGCATGTATACACTCATGCACACAAACATTATAAATTCACACATCATACGGCCCAATACAGAGTCTAGGTACAGTCCCACACTCTCTTCGATCATACCCCACTGTATGGTACTGTTGTGGTCTCAGTTTGAAGTAGACTTCATCTCAATGCAAAATTGTCTAATTCTTGTCATTCAGAAAGACAGACGTGATCAAGTTTCAGACTAATGAGTGTTTCATGTTTTGTAACAGACAAAATCCTTATTACCATCACGATAAAAAAAACGTTATTTTGGGCACTTTAAAGATTACATTTTTGTGGGTGGTTGGCGGGTGCTTTTTTGTGTTTCTTGTTACTTTCTTGTAACACCTAATCTTCGGCACTTATAACATGTGAGGCAGCGTGGTGAAATTAGGCGCTTGTTAAAATAATTATATTGAAGAAAAAGCATTCTCCTGCGTTTGGCAATTTTTAAAAACCAATTTCTTGTTTTTGGCTTGACAGTGTTGTTGTTCAATTAAGAACACATTTCTGTGTGGATTTTTATTGGAAAACTGTCATTAAAGGCACAAAAATTTTCAGTTTCCACAGACTTTGAAACTAGATGACTATACATTGTGGTGCTTGTTCGTCTATGTGAGTTTACATGTCGTTCATCTTATCTGTTTCAGAATTGTGAACATTGCTGATCGATTCGATAAACTCTATCTTTGAAAGCAAATACCTCAAAGTTATTTAAAGAATAACAAAATAACCACATTTTGGCAGCCATTTTCTAAATAATTCTGCCTTTGAAACCAGTCGACCCCACTTTTTCAATTTCAAATATCTTGACTTCTATATTCATGATATCTGAGTATTTTTTTCACCGAAAGCAAGACAAATTTATATAAACAACCTTTAAAATGATGAATAACTCCACAAGTACAAAAATTGACAAGTGCCTGATTCCACCACGTTGTGATACATATGACCTTATTGTGTCGCAAGTGCCATTATAAAACTCTTACTAAAACTAAAAAAGTTACTTTTTTAAAATCTGTTTCCCTCTCTTTAGGTTCAACAGTTAAATTAAAAGAATACAACGAAGTTCGATTAAAATCTGAAAACAGCAGTTAACTGACAGCAAATAAAGGCCCTGATTATTGTTTTTTTTTAATCTGAGCTACCTCTCAACTCTCTTAACTGAAGAAAATCTGGAGGTCCACAAATTCGGGTGAAAGGTACTTCACTTACTGTGTCCACTGCTCTGTGAAATTTTACAAAAATCTCAGCCCAGACTTCAATACTTTAATGAATTTGATTTGTCAAAATATCAAATGTTATTATTCCTTTTAGATAGATGGATGGTTTGAAAAAGAGAAAACTCTAAAATCATGATTGATTTTTTTTTTTCAATTTCTGACAGGACATGACTGTCAGATGGCAGCATCCTACAACATTCTGGAGGACAAAGACGGAATGGGTTTCATGACTCTGGAGGCAAAATGGTCAGATCCAAATGGCAAGCTGAAACTGTCCAGACTGCCTCAGACAGGCTTCTCCTTGGATATGAGTATACAGTCTGGTAAGAACAGGTTTCTGTTGTTTTTTTCCAGAAACTATGAATCAGTAGACTGAATTTTTTCTCTCCTGGAGCATTAATGTTAACATAACATGCATGAAAATCACACTTCATTACTTATTATCAAAATTCGTTCATGAATTTATTAATTTTAAATTATTGTTTTACACAAAAACCATCATTCACACCCCAGAATATAATTGTCATTGCTTATATATATTAGTATATATGAATATTACCATACATATGGTGAATTTCTGTTTAGTGTGCAAGAACAGTTATATACAATGATGAGATGTGATGTTCTCAAAATTTTGGCTTTAAAATATTGCAAAAGAAGTAATTTTGAAGCTGTAATTTTCCTAGATAAAATGTTATCTTTTCATGACATAATGACGTTTTTTGTTGGTTTTTTTATTCGGGAGGGGGGGGGGGATTTTTGTGCAATTTTCCAGTTGAGAATATAAGATGACACACTTACTTGACTTTCTCATCTTACGGGAAAGTTAATTTTCAAACTCCTCTTTAACTCCTTCGAGAATGCTGATGTAACTTAGATTATATTTTTCCCCACTAAAATACAGGGCTTGCGAGCATCTTTCCAGTGAACTGCACACCTCTATTATAATGTGTGTGTGTGCATTTTATCCAAAATGGTGCTCAAAAAAGAAAATCCTAGTGTTTAAATTAACTCTCTATACAGTTATTTTGAAACACTGATAGATCTAGCATTTTTTCTTTTGAGCAACATGGGAAGGTTCTAAACATTCAAACAGAAAAGCAGTGTGTGTGTTGGAATTCAGATCATGAGTTTAGACCATTCATCTTTACCCCTCCACTTGTGAAAAAATATGAAAGTTACATAAAGTTACATTTATATGATCTGAACTGTTTTCCGTCAGATACTGGTACCTTTTTTCGTTTGATTTGAGTTCCAAGTTTTCAAATGGTTTTATATTCACCACTGACAACTGAGCTTACTTTTAAAAGACACTCTCTTTATGTTGTTATGATACAACAAAAATAGACACCGTTTTTCCCCAAATCATTGACTTTATTTTAAAGTTGTACAGACTTTGGCCGATTTCCATTTAAATCATAATGTGTTTGAAGCTGGGAAAAAGGGCAAGTGCCTCAGGGCTGGAAAGAAGCAACGATGATCCCGATCCTCAAGCCAGGGAAAAGTAAGGCACAACCATTAAGCTATAGACCTATCAGCCTCACAAGCTGTATATGTAAGACAATTTAGCACTTCATAGCTAGCAGAATGCAGTGGTACCTAGAGGCGCAACACATCCTTGTACCAGAAGAAGCTGGGTTCCGTCAGTTCAGGAGCACAGAGGACCAGACAACTTACTTGTCCCAAGTTATAGAGGACTCCTTCCAGGCACAGAAAGTGATGCTAGCAACATTTATTGATCTACAAAAAGCGTTTGACAAGGTGTGGAAGGAGGGTCTACTAGTCAAGCTCCTTAGAAGTGGTATCCAAGGCAACATGTACTAATGGATTAAATCCTATCTACATACAACAGAAGAGCACGTGTGCAGGTGGATGGATATCAAGGACGGAAACTGCTGCTGCGACAAGGAGTACCTCAAGGTGGAGTCATGTCACCTTTGCTCTTTATCGTTTTCATCAATGACCTAATGAAAGAACTTCCCAAAGGAATTCATGCCGCATTGTATGCAGACGACCTGGTTCTTTGGTGCTCTGAGGAATTCGTCGCTACTGCCACATATCGCATGCAACTAGCATTGAACAAACTCACTACATGGACAAAAACCTGATGTGTAACCGTAAACAAAGATAAGTCTTCTGCTACACTCTTCACTCTCAGCCAGGCTGAACCAAAACACCTCACATTAGACAACCCCCCCTCCCCTAAAGTTAGAGAATCAACAATAGTGTCTTGGAATAATCTTTGACAAGCGTCTCACATGGAAAGAACCCGTTCAAAATGCAGAAAATAAAGTCAGAAAGAAACTTAACATCATGAGAAATCTAGCAGGGACTCAGTGGGGAGCAAATGAGAAAACACTTAGACAGGTCTATCTAGGCGCAATCAGGCCCCATCTCGAGTACAGATCCAGTGCATGGATGACTGCAGCACAGGCTCACAAATACACCCTGGAAAAAGTGCAAAACCAGGCTCTCCGAATAATCACTAGGGCAATGAGGTCAACGCCTATAGAAAAGATGGAACAAACAACATCTATAGTGGCCATACAGAGGAGATGGCAATGCAAGGCCCTCATACAGTACACCAATGCCACAGCTATGGAGGATCATATACTGCACACAAGAACAGCCAGATCAGACACCACAAGACTTAAAAGATCCAACTTCATCAAAGAAAGCAGAAAAATCCAAAGATTCCTTCAGGACCATCTACCAGCCACAGTGAACATGCTGAACCATACCCCAGAGGCACCATCATGGGAAAAGAAAAACACAAATTATACACACGTCCATTCCTATGTTCACCACAAAAGATGACCACTGTGACCTGAGCAAGAAATCCCTCACCCTGTCAATGCTTGAACAAAGATACGAGAAGCATGGATAAGGATCTATAGAGACGGGTCTGCCACTGATGCTCTGAAAAGAGGAGGAGCCGGAGTGTACGTACAGTTCCCAAATGGACGATGACAAGCAGAGGCAGTCCCAACAGGGCGACATTGTACAAACTACAGGGCAGAGACGGAGGCTCTAATACCTGCAGCAAACATCATCAAGAATGTGGTAGACCCCCAAAGCCAAGTAGTTTTCCTAACAGATGCCATGTCAGTACTGCAGGCAATCACTGTCGGCAAACTACCAAGGCTACGAAAAGTAATTGAGGACATCCCATGTCTGAGGATCATGCTGCTGCGGATTCCATCACACTGTGGTGTCTTAGGAAATGAGCAGGCAGACAGTATGGCCAAACTAGGAGCACAGAAAGAGCAGCCAGACCACAGCGTTAACTACACAGAAATAAAAACTATTATAAATACACTATTTAGAGCACCTCAGACACCAGATAGCTACCATGAGCTGTCCCACCAAGAACAAGTGATTATCTTCCGACTAAGAACACAACACACAAGACTGAGACAACATATGTACAGATGTTTTAAACTAGTACAATCACCAAAATGCCAGTGTGGAGAGGCAGACCAAACTGTTGAACACATCCTTCAGCACTGCAAGACACACAGGGCCCTGAGACAGGAAACGTGGCCAACCCCACTGACGCTACAAGAGAAGCTATACGGGCCAACAGATGAACTGAGCAGGACGGCCCAATTTATGACAGATACCAGACTTCAAGTGTGATGCGATCGAGAAGAAGAAGAAAAAAATAATGTGTTTGGTCATTTCTTTAAATACTGAAAGCGCTTCATTCATTTCTTTCTTGTCTCCTTTAGTGTTGTGTGCCGTGGGTGGAAGAAAAAATGTTTTTAACCCTATCCGTACTTCATGTTTCACTGGCACGTTATAAATTCATTTATCATTATTATAGCTGTGCTCAAAATTTATAAATTGGCTCACATTGTTTATATGATTGTACCAATTGCAACTCTTGAGACCAGGAGTGACAAAAATGTTTACTTTCAAATTTTTCTATGTTGATTAATGAAATGTTGTATTTATATTTTTAAAAATTTTTAAACTGACCTGATCAGTATGATGAAACTGAAGTCTGGGCGCAACAGAATGAGTGATGCGTAACACAAGATCAAGATCAGCATCTATTAATGCCAATGCAGTGAAGACCTGAGTGCTGAGCATCTCTTACAAGTTACCACATTATAGTGTTCAAAGAAAATCAGTGTAGCCAGCTGAAACTCCACTGAGGCACAAACTGGATAAAATGGAAACCTGGAAGACAGTCTCTACTTTCAGAGGATTGCTACACTTGTTGGGAGAGTGGCATCTCCATCTACAGTCTTCTGAAGGAGTTGGTCGCTTTTAAGCACAAGGGGGCTATCCCGAAAAATACTGTTTTGAGAAAATCGAAGGTAAAGATTTTGCCCCTTGTTCAGTTTCTTCAAAAGACAAGGAGAGTTTTCTCTATAACCAAACAAATATACACACCAATGAAACCAAACGTCTCCTATAGGTGGGGCAATGCCCACTTTTGGTGTAGGTCAAGATTTCTGGAAACCCCCAAAATCTAGGCTATCCCCCTTTTCCTTAAAATTAAAAGCGACCAGTTATTTTGTTGGAACATTGCAGTGTTAGAATTTGTGCATCACTTGAGGGACAGCTTGAGCTACCTTTAGTACTGTGTATCTTTACTTCATTGCTGGGTAGAGAGGCATTGCAGAAACTTTTTAGATGCTTTCAGGTCATCAAAACAGTTAACGAAACATACATTTTAACCGTAGCATGTTGAAGAAATACCAACCTCAGCATTTTAATTTTCATTTGTTGTTTCGGAGTATAAAATTTATATTGTATGCATTAAACTTCGGATTAGAGAAAAACATGTATACAAATCAGTTGATGGATAGCACTCTTATGCAAGGTTCACTTCTAGAGCGAAATGCATACCATGATATTGACAACAGCAAAGCACATGCTATTGATTTTTTTTTATGAGACACTCATTAAAGTCTATATGTGGCTGATTCTTGATTAAGGCTTATCATTGGCTGCATTGTATGTTAAGCCTATCAAAGTGTTTGAACCTGCAGCTCTATACTTGTCTGACGGTTGCATTCCTTTGTTGTATTTCAGGGAATGAGTATAGCCCTGTTTTCGGTTACTTCTGTGAACTTCAAAAGGTTAAGAGGTTTATGTCCGCACTGAAGAAAGAGGAAATGCCTGAAATGTTGTCTGCAGCCACAGCTTCTGTGTCTAACACGCTGAAAGAGTTACTACAGAATTTAAAGGTAAACTTCCATACAGGTCATTACAATAGGTTTGTTTGTTTGTTTTTCTTGTGTAACGTTTTTGATATTTGAGGGGGTGTTTCATTCTAGGGGACTTTTTAGTCTGAGAGTGATTATGGTTGCTTTTCACTTAACTAAGGCAGTGTATATTTTGTAATGTCCCTAGGTGTACAACTGCTATGTGCTCAGGATTAGTTGTACTGGTGGGGCATCATGCCATAAAATGTGCTTGAATTACCTCAGATCTTTAGAAAATTGAACCGCTGCTCATGCTATGAGTTGTTTACAGGGTATCATCAAAGTAGTAGGGTTTAGTATAGTATAGTATAAGGTTTTACGGCGCTCGCAACTGCTAAGGTCATATGAGCGCTAGTAGGGTTTGGCCAATGAAATAACTGAAATGTATTTAGGCAGGAAATTTTTTACTTCCCCTATGACTGTCTGTGTAATCTCTTGGATCTTTTGGAGCAAACTGAAAAAGAACTTGAATTTGAGTGGGGGGGGGGTTGTTGAGTGAAGGTGTTTTACACATCCATAGACGCATTTGGATCATTTAGGAGCTGGACTTCGACCCTGTCTGTCAGGGCAACTGGGGCCGAGAGGAATACAGCATCCGAGCAGAAAGATCAAGATACTCTATAAAAATTCTCCCCTCGTGGGAATCAAACTCAGACTTCTGATTGCAGCAGTAAGGTGCCTACCCGCTTCACTGTGCTAGTTTGAGTGGTCTGACATGCTGGAGAGAGAAGAACACTGACTGACTGAGAGACATAGTTGTCCACCACTTTTTTAAGTTCAGAAGTTCAGATCTTATGTTGATGGGGTACACTTTCCTTAGTATTCAAAGATGGGCCTGACTTATACTGGCAGTCCTTTAAAATTATTGTGCCTGTTAGAACAAGACTTTACAAAGTCAAAGAAAAGCTGTGGGCTATAGTATGGGACCGTTTACAAAAATGACATCAGCTAAAATCAACCAAAATGTACATGTACATTTAGATTGAATTTATACAGGATGCCTTTTATATATTTACACTTACACCTTTGATCTTTATTGTAAATTTAAAAAATAAAAACTATTGTTATTAAAGAATACAGTGGAATCCACTTATAATGAGTCCTGAAATAACGAGGAGTCTGTTATAAAGACACTATTCTAAAACCCCAGGGGGGGTTTTTCTTTGTCTTTGTAAATAAAATATTGCTATAGCACAATCAGACGAACACGCAAGTTGGTTATAGCGGAAAATTACTGCTGCTGTCCACAGCGCATAGGCCATACATAATATGTAAAACCTCGCCAGCAATTTATGGTTTTGTTCTTTTTTGTTTTGTTTTTTTAAATCTTTCTGTCCATCAGTTTTTAATATTGTGCCCTAGAGTTCTCTCTGTTTCCATGAAACGCTGTCATTCCCTTAGTTACATAAATCACAAGGGAGTACTGTTGCACTCACTACCCTGAAAAAGGCTCTGGCTATATGTTTTACTTGATTGCCTTAATGTAGATGTATGAGGTCTGTCCCACAGGTAAGTTTCCCCGTTCTGTAAAATCAACAATTTTTTATATAGACATGAAATTTTGCACCCATACCTACTGAAACATTATTTTCTATTCAACATAACAACCGTTGGTCTCGATGCACTTTTTCATTCCATGTGGCCAGCGGTTAAACACAATGACCATGTCCGCTTGGACCAGAGTCCTTAGCACAGCATTTGCTTCCAACTCTATTTCTTCTTCGTCTTCCATCGCTGCCCCCCTAAGTCCTTTGATTTTGACGAAGAATTGAAAGTTGCATAATCCTAACTTTGGGAAATAGCAGGGATATTTAAGGATATCCCACTGTCAGGGGTCCAGGAAATCGGTGACCTTTTGAGCTTGTTGTCATAATGGGAGACAACACCTTGCTCAAGCAGACTGTGCCACTTCCATCTGATTGCAGGTCTCAGCTTTGAAGAACCATCCTAATAATAGTCATCCTTAATATCGAAAAACTTGATGTGCTTTACTTTCAAAGCACCTTGCTTGGGTTGATTGAGCTTTCTGAGGTTGTGGTGATCCTGGGTTCCCCACTCTGCTGATTGCCTTTTCAGTTCTGTATCCCACAAACACACCCATATTTCATCCCTTGTTTTGATTTTTCTAATTCTAACAAAATCTTTCCCTTTAAGATGAGGAAGAAATGTGCTCAAAATAAGGACTCTGGCCGAAACGGACATTGTCATTGCGTTTAACTGTAACTGCTGGCTACATCAGATGAAAAAGTACATTATAGCCAAAGATCATTTTGTTGAATACAAAACTTGTTTGTGTTGGTATGTGCGAAATTTTATACATGTGCATCTGTAAGATAAAAATTATTAATTTTACAGAACGAGGAAACTTACTTCTAGAACAGATCTCATATCCCAATCAAGCTAAGGATGTTTGTGGTTGGCAGGTGCTCTGATGTAGTTTGCTTCATCTTTCCTATGAAATATTTATTGTCGTTATCTCTCCTTTTCTTTCTATGTTGCAATTGCTGCTATCTAGTAATACCTATATAATCTTCAGCACTTTATGACCTATTTTTGTTACAAGTGCTGTAAAAGTACTAAATCTAAGCGTAGGCTAAGTAACACCTACTTGCAATCTAACCACTCTAAATAGGTTTCTATTTCAATGTTCTTTCCCCCCCCCCCCCCCCCCTTGATTTCAGCTGGGTGTTTCACCCCCAGTGGTCACAGGATCTGCTGAGGTACGCAGCTCTTCTCACATGGCACGACAGTTGAACTTAGAGCAGCGACAAAACAAAGACTTCACCGACTTTCTATGGGAAGTTCTCAGCCAGTGCACTGACCTTGAAGGGTTGTCCAGCTGCCTGTCTGCGACGTTTGCAGCCCTCAAGGCTGGAGATTTGCCGACCTTTGTACACAAGGACAACCAAACGACGATCGCGCAGCTTGTGCGACAGTCACACTCTGGTATCGCTTACTTCCCTTCCCTGACAGGTTTCCTGCCCGTACGTCTTGTCACAGAAATTGGCGTGCACAAGATTTACAAGGATTATATGGCATTGTTCTTAGGCAACAGGCTGTGTACTGCTGGTCAGTGGGAGGAGTTCGTCAAGTCTCAGGTAGAAGGAACTGTTGGAATTGTTGACATGGAGGAGATATATCAGAAAGAGTTGTCGCAGAAATTTCATGTTTTGACCAAGCTCCATCACTGTCTTGAAGTAGTTTCTATTGTCGATATCTTCACGGAAAAACAAACCCTTAGCAAAATCACAAAGAGCCTTTTGGATCTGTACAAGAGTGAAGACCTGAATGAAGAGAAGGTATTCAGCTATCCCATCACAGTTGTACAGGCCGTGCCAGAGATAAAAAAAGTTAGACCGTCCATGATGAAAAGAGAAGCATCTGAGCGAGGCAATACATATATCGACTGCTTTCTGTCTGAGCTCCCTTCTTCTTTATCAGGATTCGCATCAGCTGAGACTGTTGTGAGTCCCGGGGATGTCTCCTCTATTCTTGGAGACTGCGAAGACTATTATCTGTTTCAGACTACTGAAAAATGCTTGACTCTCGGACATGCATAGTAAAGCATATACGAGATGTATGTATTTATGTGTGAACAAGTAGCCTACATTGAGCAAGAAATGAACTTTTACACTCAGAACTCTCTTTGTTATGTTATAGATCCAAATATATCTGATACGGTTGAAACTGTCTACGTCTAAGTCGGCCATCCATTGTCGAAGAGAAAAATGGCCGTCTCAGACAGGTGACCATATTACAAGATGTCATTATAATGTAAAAAAATATGCAAGGGAGGAAATGGGAAATTGCTGTTTGTACAGGTGATTGTCTTAGACAGGTGGCCCTTAGAGCAGGCACCTCTGTATTTGCTCTTATCTAGGTCATGTGTATCAGTGATGTTTCAAGGGTTGCTGGAATGGAAGAGTCAAATGAGACTTTGGAGATACCAAAGTTTCTGGTTGGTTATCTCCTTCGGGGTTTTTCCTATATAGCCTATATACAGTATAACACGGATAGCTCGAAATCGTCGGGACCAGCTTCGGTATTTCGAGGGATCCGTAGTTCAAGGGATATACAAAGATAAAGAAGAGAAGGAAAAAACGGGACTGCAGGCACAATTCGACGGATGGGTGATTTCAAGTCTTCTGTGTTCGACCTATCCGCGTTATACTGTATATCCTTTTTTTCTTTATAATCTGCACAATTTATAGTTTTCTCTTCAGTTGGCGTACTTGTAAGAAATATGACCACATGTTGCAGTCTTTGTAGAATTGCCAACATCTCTTTGACTCAGTATATAGCTACCCCAGTGCTTTCTTGTCGTATCTCCATTTTTAATAACAGTGGAAACAGTTCATAACAAAGAGTGAGCACGTGATATCACATTTTCACACCAAAAAAACTGAGATACGACAAAAAAATACTGAGGTCACTTTATAATTTAAAACTGCTGTTTACTCTGAAGTACAGTGGAGTCTTAGAACTTAAAACGAAATCCATGAGACCCAGATTTTCTTTGTTTTGGCAGTGTTTTCAGTTTTGAGAGATTGTTCAAGTATAGAAGGAAATTAGCGTGAATCTAGTTTGTTTTTTTTTGGTTTACCACTGTTTTCGGATTAATTGTGATCGGTTTAAGTGGACGCCACTGATGTCTTTAAAAAAACACTGAGATTTTTTGTGGATGCACCTAAAGAGAGATTCGTTATTTTCTGGGTTTCTGGTAAATGCTAGCGGTCACTTCCTATGTGTGAGCATGTTTTAGTGGCATAACAGTAAGGAGCCTTCACAGTGGTTCAAGAGTGTATAATGTTAATTCAAGATGGTGTGGAGGTTTGTATCAGTGCGATCAAGTTTAGTTAGTATTGCCATACAGCATACATGTATTTTCCTGTGAATTTCTATGGTTAATGTAGTTCGTCCCAATAATGATAATGTCTAGTGTAAACATAAAACAGAAAATTTTGTATATATTTGGTCTCCATGGATGTCCCTAACAAGTGTAAAAACGCTGAATGACTGAATGCATTAAATCTTTCTAAACCTGTCTTGAAACAAAGGCTTTTGTTCGGATGTCATTGTGTTCTAGTCTAGCCACTCCCATTGTTACTACTACAGGTCATGTCTCCATCTCACCTTGGGGTTGGTGCGAGTTCTGGTGCAGTCTGCTCTTTTTACTTCTTTTCAGTTTTGCTTTTGTCCTTCTACACCTTTTCAGTGTTGCTTTTTATATTTTTCTACCGTTCCAATTCAATGTCGCTATTGTGTTTTGTTTACTCCATTTCAGTGTTGATATTTGTTTGTTTTCTCCATTTCAGTGTTGCCTTTGTCGTTTTACTACTTTTCAGTGTTGCTTTTGTCCTGCTCATTTTCAGTGTACTGTATCTTTTTCCTACTCCTTTTCAGTTTTGCTTTTGCTCAGTTCCACATACTATACAGATGGTTTGAATCCTACTCTGTTGCTGTTCTCTTTATTGTCTTTTTTCATGCTTTTTCTCAGTAATGACCACTGGACAGAAGAAAGGAGAGAAAATATCCCAGGAAGTACATGAAAATACTTCAGAAACCTTTCAGATTTGAACTTCTGTACTGCAGTAGTAGCAGCTAAAAGGTGTAACCCATGCACCAAAGCAGAGGACTCTCGGACCAGAGGTCAACGAACTCGAAAACTAGGATTAACATGGTACATGCTACTAATTTTTACAAGTACATAAGGGAACATAGGAACATACAGTGGAAACCTGATATAACAGGGATGGTGGGAGTAGAGAAAATGTCCTGTTATATCCGATCCCTGTTAAATCAGAAATGCAAGGAAAGTAAGCATTTGTGGACTAATCCAGCTGTACTTATTCATGGGTAGTTTCCTTTGCCACATTTTAAAAAATCCCTGTTATTACCGGGCCTGTTATATATGGTTTCCACTGTATATCATTTTGAATATCAGAGAAGGGAACCAAACTGCACACTGCACACACTCTCCCTGTTTCAGATGGCCGTGAATTTTAATCTGTTCGTATGTTGAAGCTAGAGAGGTGAGCAGAGTAAACCTGATTCCCTGTAAAAATGTAGTAAGGACTTCTCTGTTGACATCGACGCCTTGGCGCTCATATGACCGTATGCAGTCGCAAGCGCCGTAAAACCTGTACTTAAACAATTTTTTAAAAGTTCGTATGTGATACCGTATCTGACGCCAAATGTTCCACAGAAATAAAAAGGAGAACTACAATGGCTAAGGCTAGTTTCAATAAAATGAGCCCAATCCTGAAAAATAGAAACATCTCAAGGAACACCAAAAC